GAAAGAAGGAACCCAGGAAGGATATGGAGTGCTTGTTACATTGAGGAGATTGGAACTAAAGTCATGACACAAAATGTGTGTAAATGAGAAACAAATGAGAAACAATTTTCTCTGTAAATTTTTACTGAAGCCACCATCAAATGTTCAGGAAACAAAAACAAAATTAAAAACCTGACATCAAAGTTTAGATTTTGAGAAAAACAAATATACTTACGGAAGCTCAGCAAGACTTTCATATCCTCCCAAGCTCTCAGCCAGAGTAAATAGCTACAGCAAAGAAAACATACATTTATGTCTTACAGTAAAATAAAAATACCAAAGTCTAAACATAAGTATTTTACTACTTTTAATTTTTTTTTAATTTTATCATTATTTGTATGTGTATGTACCATCAAATCAGATCTGACTGGTCCAGGAGGAGATTGTCCCACCTTCTCCAGCAGAGCATCTGGTGGATTCGAACGGTGCACCTCTGGGATTGCACTTTTTGCCATTAGGCCACCAGAGTTTGCCTAAATATGAGCATTTTAAATAAAATGGGCCTAACATAGTGGCTAGTGAACAGTAGTGTTTATGAATAAAATGAGGATAAAATCTATCTGTAACAATGACTTCACCATTACATATATTATGTGTAAACTGAAAGTCAAAGTGAATGCCTTATATCTTCCTGATTTGATCTTATTCTTACTATGCAACATGAGCTCTAAAAACCAAGAATTTTGTATTTGAGAGCTAGTCCTGTGATCACCTTATAAATAAAAATCTCTACAAAGGAGCTCTTGTGGTCTAGCGGTAAAAGCCATGCTGCAATCCCGAAGGCATGCAGTTCGAATCCACTAGCTGCTCCACAGGAGGAAAATGTGAACTCTCCTTCCTTGTGATATACTATCTCAGGAAAGCTATTGGAAGGTCAGCTATGAATCGGTTCCAACTTGATGGCACACAACAACAACAACAAATATCTACACAATTATAGATGTACTGTGGTTGTTGTTATGAGCAGTTGAGTCAGAACTGCCTCATCAATGACCTTCCTGTAAGTTTTCAAAGGCTGGAAATTGCACTCATTTTTCTTCTGAGGAATAACCACTGGATTTGAACAGCCTGCCTTTGGATTGATAGCAGAACTTCTTATCCACTAAGACACCAGAGATCCCTTATATATGCTTGTTGTGTTGTTGTTGTTGTTGTGTATTGCTGATGGAACCAAGCCATAGGTGACTTTGTTAGTAATTATCTCTTAAGTTAATGCATTCACTTACCCCTCTAGGTAAGTAAGAAGAAAAAAACCCAAAATATAATAGTATTTATAATGTTATGATAAACAGAATTTTATAAATGCTTTTAAAGTATCTTGGACAATTACATTAAATTAGGTATAGATTTCTACCTTTCTGATATTACAGATGAACAAACTAGAGACATTCTATTTATTACCTCCTCATGATGTGTAGATTTCTACTCATGGCAACCTGATATGTTTCACAATAGAATGTGCTCAATAGGATTTTCAATAGTGATTTTTCAGAAGCTCATTGCCAAGCTTCTCCTCCAAAGTGCCTCTGGATGAACCAAAACTGACAACCTTTCCGTTGACAACTGAGCACATTAACTGTTTGCACCAGCCAGGGTTAGATCTGTAATATTTAAGCCTGAGCTTCTACTGTAGGTAAATCTAGTTTATGGAGTCATGCAGGCTTCTCACTTGATTGCCTCCTGTTGGTACCAATTACAAAAAGTTCCCCTTCCCCAACCCCGTGCCCTGGCAAACTAGAAGATTTAGAAAGCTACTCTGTTACTAGATTTGAAAGCAGACTTTGTATTATGCATTAATCACACCTATATTTTGAAGGTTCACAAAACATATTTAGAGGATTCAATTTTAAATAAATGTGATGATCACTACATTAGACTATGTCATCTTTCTCAAACAGATTGTAGCATATGGTGAGTTAAAGAAATGAACATATTCAGACACCTGTACTGTGCCACTGCTTCATACTGTTTTGACTCATCGATCTACATGATAAAAAGGTTGGTTAATGTGACCTTGTGAACTGAGCATATAAAATTTAATATCCCATCTTTTTTTTTTAAAGGAATAGGAGAGAGAATAAATGTTGTAAGACAGTCTTAGAAGGTCTCTTAGTGGTATAAATGGTATATGTTCATTGCTAACACATAGCTCTACTGGCTTAGTGGTAAGAAATAGAGCTGCCAACTTAAAGGGGCATGGTTCGAATCCTCCAGCTGCTCAATGGGAGAAAAATGGATCTCTTTCCACGCAATTTACTGCCTCTGAAAACCCACTGGTGGGTCAGCTACGGGTTGGTTCCAACTCAAGGGTACACAACAGCAGTAGTGGTATGAAAGAAAGCCCTGACAAGCTACCTCCATAAAGATTACAGAACAGAAAGTAAATATCATATAACACATGGGGTTACCATGCGTCTGAATTTACTCAATGGGAACAAGTGTGATTTGGTTTAAAGGTAAGCTTCCCCTTCAACTTAAAAAGCTCTAATGAAACTTTACCTTTAAGTTCTTGAGAAAAGTCTCAGCATGCTGAAGAGTGCCCTTAATATAGAAAGTGATCATCCCTGGGCAACCTGTGCACTGACGCTTTGCCAGCTCATGCTGCGGATGAGACGGGAGCCCTATAATCAAGGAATAAGAAGTATTATGTTAGCATCAAACATGTAATTTCAAGGGGGGAAAATCCCACTGTCCACTTTGTTGTTGTTGTAAGGTGCTGCCGAGTCGAGTTTAACTCATAGTGACCCTATGAACAATGTGAATTCTGGCCTATCCGTCAATCTCATGATGTCTACCATACTCAAGCCCATTTAGTAAACTGCAAATGAACTTCATAAAGAGCTTTGTGTTATGCACCTACTCCTTACTTATCAACTATCTCATTACCTGACATTTTATATTCAAGACAAAAGTAAAATAATCTAGTCCCTAACTGTTCAGAGTGTTAAGGATGTGACAGTAATGAGCACAACCATAGAGGTGAGGCAAACCTAACACTGGTTGCAATGGTTAAACTTGTGTATCAACCTGCCTGGGCCTCAATCCCTAGAGGTTTGGCATTTGTATAATTATGTAATTTGGCTTTTACATAATGATATAATTATATTTCACTGTCGCATAATGCCAATTTTCTGATTACTACCTGATCTTTGAAACCTAATCATGTCAATAAATGCTGTATTCACGCCCATTTGTTCTGGCCCCTGGCTTCAGATTAATTTTGACTGACCTTTCTGCCCTCACTGTGTTGTAGCCCCAAGTTCTCTCTCATCTCATCTGAACATGCACATTCTTCTTCAACCTGGAACAGTCTGCCTTCTGACCTATGCACCTTGCAGATTCATGGTTTATTATTATATCTTTCTATAATATCTAAAACACAGGACAAGCTCCACAGGAAAGAAATCTTTGGTATTTTGGCTAATAACTACCTCAGTCCATAATACATGTCTATCTCATTGTTGACAGGTAATAAAATATGTATTGAATAGATGTGATATGCCTTGTCCATGCCCTACAAATGTTGTCCATTCTTCAGTATCAAGCTCAAATTCTTATTCCTCTCGCCATTCAAAATACACCTTTCAACTACTCTTTACACGTTGTTGTATTAGGCGCTGCTTAGTAGACTCTTAGAAAGCCTATGAACAACAGATCTGAACTTTGCCCTATCCTGAGTCATCCCCAAGATCTCAGATACGCTTGAGCCCATTGTTACAATCCATTTTGCTGAGTGTCTTCCTCTATTTCTCTGACCATCCATCATTCCAACAAGATAATTTAATCTCCTATATGTTTCTGCTTGGCTTATTTGGCTCCTTGGGGACAAGGACCAGTCTAAATGTTCTTATATACCCAAGACCACGTATTTATATATATATTCCTAAAGAAACTACATTATTTACCTAGATATTTAGACTAGCATAGTTTAAAGGGTTGGGGAAATAAATTCATAGGGTTATATTTAAACATTGCTAATTTCACATACACCTTTCAAAATCTTGAAAACATGAAGGAATTCAAAAAGAAAGTGTGAGAGCTTCAGAAGAACTTTAATGAGGACAAACTGTCTGTCTTGGGTAGAATCTCAATCAGATAAAAAGGAGAGATTATGCAAAATGTTAGATTGGCAAGATCATTATAAGCCAATCAACTGGAAAGTACATTCCATGTTGCAATCTTAGAAAAGCTGTGTATAAACTATCGGCTAGTTTTCTAACATTTAAGCATCCACTAGACTACAGGCAGCATAAGGTCCGAGACAATGTTATTTTCTTTAACACCTTAGTGTTGACACAAAGCAGTGTATAATAATAAAGAAACAACTTGAAAGTATATGAGAAGCACTCAACTTATAAATAAATGCTACATAAATAATTTGCTTAGAATAATCTTTAAACTCCCAGTTCAAGATATATCTGCTTAGATATCAGATTAACATACCAGGAAAAATAACTTTTTCTACTCGAGGATTAGTTTCGAGAAACCGAGCCACTGCCATTCCATTTTCGAAATGCTTTTCCATTCGGATTTGCAGAGTCTTTAGACCTCGATTGCAGAGGTAACAGTCAAGAGGAGAAGGTACTGCTCCAAGAGCTACAAGTGAACACATGTTGTATTAGTTGTATGGAAGGAGGCAATTCAGAAAAATATGGCTCTTGTTTTCATTGTTATAACTTTGACAAAGAAGCTACAAAGGCCGATATTTGAGTTTGAGAAGGAATAATTTATCAAATCAAAAGGCTAAGAATGAAGCATAAAATGTATCAGAAATATCCTTTAAAATAGGAGGGGGAAGGTATATATTATCAAATACAAATACTCAGAAGAAATTAAATAGAAACACTGGCATTTTGCTTTCAAAACAGCAGGCACTGAAAACTATCGAGTACACATAGTTCTATTATGATACATATTGGGGTTTTTTGGTTGGATAGTTGGTTTTAATATACAAAGATATGAACATAAAGAGTTCTTTAGAGTAAATGTTGTTATGTGCCCTGGAGTTGCATGCCCCTGTTTTTTAAGAGGCAATTAATCACATGGGAGATTTCTTGTCCTTCTCTACAGAGAAGCTGGTGGATTTGAAACTGTGTGCCTTTGGGACTGTGGCACAGCTTCTTACCACTAGGCCACCAGTCTATGATTTTCATTAAATTACACAGGGCACACACTTTAACCCCACAATTATTTTATAAGTATTAGAACACAAGGAGACAAACAGCAGTTCAGTGTCCATCCTACTAAATGCTATACTCAGCCTTCTAGTTAATCTTTACCTAAAGCAATCTCTCATTTCACATATCTCCAAGGTGTTGGCATCATTTCTTTTTATAGAGAAAATGTCATTTTAAAAAGCAATAGATTTTGATTTCTTTTTGTAGTACTTTTTGTTACATCAATATCTATTTTCTAGAAGAATATTTTCATCCCCCAATTATGTTTATATCTTCCTTGTCAGCTATAAATTTCTTTAAATAGAACCCTTAGCCAAAGAAAACACAACTGTTAGCCTTAAGAAAACTCAAATAATATAAACAGGAAATGGTTTAGCCATCGGCTGAATTAAATAATTTCTCTTAAATACTATTTAAAACTATCACTCCAATAATAAAATATACTATTAATTAAAATAGTACACAGTACATGGAAGGCACAGTACAAGAAAACTATTATTTTTAAAATGTTGTTAAAACATTCATTAAGTCTGAAACCTAAAGAGTTACTTGAGTTTTGCCAAATATGATCAAAACTAACATGGATTTGAAAACTACTCTTTTCCTTATGCCATAATATCTTCTTTAAAAGTGTGCTTTAACTATATTTTTATAATTCAAAATTTTCAACTTTCTCTAAAAATTAGAGCTACTTCCCTCTATTTCTTATATATTCACAAAATACTGTAATGCCATCACTTTATAACACCTAGTTATTGTTAGATGCCATTGTTGTTATTGTTATGTGCCGAGTTGCTTGCGACTCATAGCAACCCTATATACAAGAGCCCTAAACCTTACTCTGTCCTGTGCCAACCTCACTGTTTCCAACACACCTACTCCCACTAACCCAATCATGGAATCAATCCATCTCATTGAGGGTCTTCCTCTCCTGCGCTATCCCTCCACTCTCCCAATCATGGTGTCCATCTCCAAGGACTGGTTTCTCCTTGCAACTTGCCCAAAGTATGTCAGACGAAGCTTCAGAATCCTTGACTCCAAGGAGCATCCCGGCTTCACCCTCTTCAGGACAAACCTGTTTGTTCTCCTAGCAGTCCATGGTATATTCAACGCTCTTCTCCAGCACCACAGCTCAAAGGTATCAATTCTCTTTCTGTCATCCCTAGTCACTGTCCAGCTCTCTGATGCATAGCATGCAAATGCAAAGACTATAACCCAAATCAGGCACACCTTAGTCTCCAGCCTGATGTTGTTGCTCTTCAGTACTCTGAAGAGGTTCCTGACAGCTGACTTTCCCAGTGCAATTCATCTCTTGATTTCCTGGCTACTGGTACCAAGAGTGTTGACTGTGGAGCCAAGCAAACTAAAACTGTTAATTATCTCAATCTCTTCATCATCCATACTGATAATTGGCCCAGTGGTGAGAATCTTTGTTTTCTTGATGTTGACCTTCAATCTGTATTGAAAACTGCAGTTCACAATAGCAAGGAGTTGGAAACAACCTAAGTGCCCATCAACAAATGAATGGCTAGAGAAGCTGTGGTATATTCGCACAATGGAATACTATGCTGCATTAAAAAACAAGGAACTCATGGAATATTATTCAAAATGGTTGACTCTGGAGAACATTATGCTGAGTGAAATATCCCAGTCACAAAAGGACAAATATTACATGATGCCACTGTTGTAGAATGGGACTGTCCTTGGGGTTGGGCAGAGACTGAGTAAGATGGGTTCAATAATGTATACTACACTGAAACAGAGGAGGGAGAAAACTGTTTAAAAGAGATATATAACTAGGTATTTCTGTCATCACAGGAGACTAGAGCGAGGGCTACATGGTGGAGGGGACCTGGGGGAGGGTTTGTAAAACAATGAAAGAATCTTTTCTTTTACTTTTCCATAATTTTTGGACTCATGTACTTATAACTTGTTAGTCAAACTTGTGTCTTCTAGGTTGCAACACCCCCATGATGCATCTTCAAGGATATGAACATGTACGGCCAAGCACAATCAATAATTGAGTGCATCTAAATTCCAAAATAAATCTCCATAATAGTCTATGTGTTTCCTACTGCCAGAGGGGCCCTTTGGAGTAGTGAGAGAAGATCTTCACCCTGAAACCCACAGCGTCCCTTTTCAGCAGGAAGTAGCTAAGAGAATACGCCATCCCCTTTTCCTTATGACTCAGGGTGAAGTCTCTCTCAGGGAGGAGTGATAGGGAATGGCAAAGGACACACTGACAAAGAAGATTAATCAGAACTGGCTTTGACAAGCACTGTGGCATTTGGACAAGAACAAACTGGGAGGAGGGTAGAGAGAATAGTGCAACAAGGAATGAATGGAAACCCAAAATCTCTGTAAATGTTTATGAAAATTAATAAAATATAGAAAAAAAAATTAAAAAAAGAAATGAGGCCCTCTAGTGCCCATGTTGTGATCCTTAAATACCATTTCCCAGTGAAAGAAGCTAGGGCTTATTGTGAAAATGTGAGATTCCAAATCTGGAGCAGGAATGAACCTGATCAGTTATACTTTGACAGTAAATTTACTAAAATTCATTGGTCTCTACATAAATAAAGGGAGAATGCCAAAAAAAATGAATAAATGAAAGTAAAATGACAAAAAAAAAAAAAAAGAAAGAAAACTGCAGTCCTTGACCCTCTGCAGCAAGCGCTTCAGGTCCTCTTCCCTTTCGGCACATAGGGTTGTGTCATCTGCATAATGCAGATTATTGATGAATCTTCCACCAATCCTGATGCCACATTCCTTCTCGTACAGCCTAGCATCTCGATGATCTGTTCTACATACAGATTGAAAAGGTATGGAGAAGAATACATCCCTGGCAGACCTCCTTCCCAATTTTGAACCATGCAGTGTCTCCTAGCTCTTGGTCCAAGCATAGGTTTTGCATAAGCACAATCAAATGTTCTGGGATTCGCATTCTTCTCAGAGTCAACCACAGCTTGTTGTGATCCACACAGTCAAAAGCCTTTGCATAGTCAATGAAGCATAGATAGACATTCCTTTGGTATTCTCTGCTTTCTGCCAACATCCATCTAACATTACCTATAATATCCCTAGTACCACAACCTCTTCTAAACTCAGCCTGCACATCTGGCAGTTCTCTGTTGACGTGTTGCTCCAGTCATTTTTGGATAATTTTCAGCAGAATCTTGTTTGCATATGATATTAATATTGTTCAATAATTTCCACACTCTTGTCGGGTCACCTTTGTTTGGAATGGAAATAAATATCAATCTCTTCCAGTCAGTTGGCCAAATGGCTGTCCTCCAGATTTCTTGGCACACCTTAGTGAGCGCCTCCAGGGCAGCCTCTGCTTGTTGAAATATGTCAACTGGTATGCTATCAACTCCTGGAGCCTTGTTTTTTGCCAGTTCTTTCAGAGCAACTTGAACTTCCTCCTTCATCACCACAGGCTCTTGCTCATACAATATTTCATTAAATTTTTCTGTCAGCCAATTCCTTCTGGTACTCTGTATATTCCTTCCATATTCTTTTAATGTTTCTTGGATCATTTAACATCCTATCCAAAGCATCCTTAAGTATCCCCACTCATGGCTTGGATTTGTTTTTCAGTTCCTTCAGCTTAAGAAATGCTGAGTTAGTTTGGCCCATTTGATTTTAGTCAACAAAAACTCATACCAATCCTAAGAAAACAAATCTGAATTTTGCCCATCTGTGGCAGCCTTACGACTTCCACCATGTTCAAACACCGTGTTATAGTCACTGTGCCAATCCATTTTACCAGTCGTCCTCTCTTCCACTGAACCTCCACCTTTCCCAGCATGAGGTTATCACCAACAATTAGCCCATCTGATAACATGTCCAGAATAAGTGAGCTAAGTTTCACCATGCTTGTATCTAAGGAGCAATAGAAATGTAAATATCAAAAATGCCTGTGAGACTAGAGGACTCTCAATTTTTTTTTTTTAATACTTACAGTTTTGCAAGAAACGAAGCCTATTGTGAAGATTTTCTGAATTAAGAGACACTAAACCCATCACAACATCACTGTGCCCTGAAACAAACAAAAAGGGTTAAAATGATGTTTATATTTCACTTTCAAATATTTTTTAAAGTGACTTTTACTTTTAAAAACTCTCAAAGAAAAAGTCAAAGCCGTTGCCATTGCATCATGCATAGCTGACCCTCCAGTGGATTTTCAGAGGTGTTAGTATACACAAGAGACTGCCCATCTTTCTCCTACAAAATGAATCATCAGAGGCTCAGCCTTCTTATTTGCAGTGCAGTTCCCTACAGACTACATCACCAGGACACCCCCCCTCAAAGAAAAAGTTCTATAAAAGTAAGGTTAAGAAAATTCGATCCACTTAATAGTAGCAAAAGTTATACTTAAACAATAATTTTTTTTTAAAATGAAAAGTAAATGTTTCTTTTTAAAATGTCATCCAGTTAAAAATATAATCTTAAAAAATACATATAATCATATAAAAATAGTTTTCTGCTGTAAGCGTATGCCATGTTTAATCACAGCAGTTTTTTTTTTCTTTCTACATAAAGCAAAGAAAATCTGATTAAGAATATAAGAAAAGGAGCTAAAATGTCAAGCTCTATGCTACCTTCCCTTTCCCATATAAAGGAACACCCAAAGTATAGGCAGACTGTGCTTATCTTACCATTCATATATTTTGTTGCTGAATACATACAAATATCAGCTCCCAGAGACAAAGGCCGCTGAAAGGAATAAATGTTTGGTTTATTTTATTATTTTAAACAACAATCCTTTATAAATATGCTATAGTACTTATCTATTTGCTGTTTCCAATTCTATTCTCAACTCTAGTTTGTACTAACTTTTCAAAAATAAATATGCCTTAAGATTTTCCAGGACCTCTGATAATATCGTCCCCTTTTCTTCCTCCCACAAAATAAAAATATAGAGTACCGGATTCAATATTCAAACTAAAGACACAATTATGGAGAAACAGGAGAAATATTGAGGTCAACAAGTCTCCTGAATCTGTTTATTTCAAATTCAACTCATTGTCATCATGTTGGAGCTGACTCATAGCTGACCCTCCAACAGGTTTTCAGAGGCTATAAATCACACAAGAGATTGCCTGTTTTTCCCCAAGGAACCCACTGTTGGATCTGAACCACTAGAGAGATGTCACATTGGGTTAGCAGTACAACTTCCTACAGACTATGCTACCAGTGTTCCGGTTTATTTACAGACTTTACATTTATTATATACATAAAACAACTATGAGATATCATCTCACCCCTGTCAGAATAGCAAAATTTAACAGAACAACAAGCAATAAATGTTGGCGAGGTTGTGGAGAAACTGGAACCCTTATTCACTGTTGGTGGGAGTGTAAAATGGTACAACCACTGTGGAAGGCCATATGGCGCTTTCTCAAAAAGTTACAAATAGAGATACTATTTGACTCAGCAATTCCACTACTGGGAATATACCCCAAAGAGACCATAACTGACACCCAAGCAGATATATGCACATCTTTGTTTATCGTGGCTTTGTTCACAATAACCAGGAGTTGGAAACAACCTAAGTGCCCATCAACAAAAGAATGGATAGAGAAGCTGTGGTATATTCACACAATGGAATACTATGCTGTGTTGAATAACAAGGAACTCATGCAATATTATTCAAAATGGGTGACTCTGGAGGACATTACGCTGAGTGAAATATCTCAGTCACAAAAGGACAAATACTGCATGGTGCCACTGTTGTAAAACAGGACTGGCCTTGGGGTTGGGGAGAGACTGAGAAAGATGGGTTCAATAATGCATACTGCATTGAAACAGATGAGGGAGAAAACTGTTTAAAAGGGATGTGTGATTAGGTATTTTTGTCATGACAGGAGTCTAGAGCAAAGGCTACATGGTGGAGTAGACCTGGGCGGAAGGCTTGTAAAACAATGAAAGAATTTGTCTTTTACTTTTCCAAGATGGTAGTGGACTAGGGGGGAAGGTGGAAGGGGAGAAAAGTGCAACAGTGAATGAATGGAAATCCAAAGTCTCTGTAAATTTTTACTGAAATTAATAATAAATTTTTTTAAAAGGGGGAAGAGCTAGACAATGAATAAGGATAATAGAAGAAAAAAGATAATGCTTTTCGGCTGTCATGCTAGAGAAGAGTTTTGGGGAAAAATTATATATAGCAGACACATTGCCATTTTTTACTAATTGAACATATAATTCACATAAACACTCAGCAATTCTTACATAAATAAGCTTGAGACTAATCTGTTGTGGTTTTCAATCATTTCAACCTAACACTACATGCTGTGAGTATTCACACTTGGTTTGCCAAGATTTTTAATGAGTATTATATTAGATTTACCAAGAAGAAAGCCATTTGGGTTTTCTTCCATCTAGTTTTTCTGTGTCTTAAAATGTTTTTCTTTATATCAATTAATCAAGTTATTCACCAAACAATGATAATAAAATTTTTTTGCATTCTCTTTAAAATAAAATTACGTGTGTTTATGTATGTGCCTGTGTGAGTGAGTCTGGAAGGTCTTGGGAACACACACACACACACACACACACACACACACACACACACTAAAAGCATTTTTGGAAATCTTTGGAAGGTATTTGTGTTTGAGTGTGAGAGCTACATATTCTTTCCATCTAGGATATTTAAAATACAGTATTGCCTAAAGCACTCTCTACACATGTATTTATCTCTGGGGTCAAACTTTTTAAAATCTCTTCTAACTCTAATGTCTATTTAAAGTCTTTTCTAATGCTGTGGTCAAAGAGAAGTGGGTATGGAGTCATGCTAAATATATAACCCCATGGAGAAACATGTACCAATAAAATCAGTACTTCATTACTCTCATTTTATAGTGAGAAAAGACTAAAGAACATGAAAAGATCATTTAGACAGAAAAGTTGGTGCAGTCTGAATTCACATCTACACAGCTTGACTCAGAAACTCTCCTCTGCACTGGCGTGAGACTTACAGAAGTCCAGAAGACAAAGACAGCGAAGAAAGAGAACATATCCACTTCTCATGAGGTGACAAAGTAAGGACCTTTTCCGGAGCATATTTGCTTTGTGAAATCCATATATGTAGCAGACAATGGATACCAAGAAAAAGTGTGGTTCTGATTAATTATGCTGGAAAGAATCCAAACCAAGATCAAGTCAATTTAATATCAAACAGAAGGAATGTGATGTGGGCTTCAGACAGGCAGAAAAATGAAAACTATTTCAAAAATGATGCCAGGAGAAAGAGGGCCAGGCCTGATGAGTAACCTGGGCAGGTCCAGGAGAGAAGGAAAAAAAAAAAAATTCATGTACTCTCTTTGAGAATACACAGGACTCACTGTGACTCAGCTAAAAACATCCTTTGACATATAAACTGGTCTGATGGAGGCAGAATCTGACCTATGGAGATGGAATAAAGACTCTTAACAATGAAAGTCACCTGCTCGAAATGCAGGATGCCAGGGGATTTTCACTTGGAAACAGATTATTTTACCTGGCATAGGTAGCATTTAAAGATTAGCAAACTACAGGTAAATGGGTCCTAAAAGTTCTGAATTTAAAATGTTTAGGAACTTTAATTCAGGAAAGGAAAATAAAACATGTTAGTGCCTTCAGAAAAAATAAAGAACAGGATGACCCAAACTACCAGGAAATCTATCAGTCATGGAAGGCAGCAGCTTGAGTCAATTTCAAGCCCCACCACCGCTGCGGCCATGTCAACAACTGAGCTTATAAACAACTGCATAAATGAAGAACTGGAGATGAACGAGGGCCTTCAGGAAGCCTGAGGAATAAATATGAACTACAGGAAGTGTAGAAGAATGATCCCAGTACAAGCAGGAAGAAGAACAGAAGGAAAGGAAACAGAGTTAGGTTATTCTGGAGAGAGGGAGTAAGAACATCCAGGAAAAGTCAGACAAAGGGTTATCTTTAGAAAGATACCAAAATAGCCTATTAAAAGGAAAAAAAGAAAAGTAGGAGGGAAGAAGAATTAAGCAAAAGCACAAGGGATATGTGGGCGGATTAGGACAATGTACGAAGATGGGTACGTAGGAAGAGATACATTGAGTGGAGTCTGTGAGAGCTGGCAAACAGGACCGCCTTGTTTTTCGGGATCTTTGTTCCATCTTTGATAGAGTACACTCTAACCACCTTCCTTTACTTTTTTTTTCTAACCACCTTTCTACTGCTTATTTTTGTAGAATATGTTTGAGTTTTCCTTATCTGACAGGTTTCTGCCTTACACAGGTTTCACTGTACAGACAACTGCAACATAAAACAGTAAAAGAATTCTTACTACAAAGTAAAGATGCAAAGTTTTGTGTGTAGCCTCCCAAGTACTGAGGGAAAAGAAATTAGAAAAAGAGAAATGTAAAAATAATGTGTAACATACACTGAGATGTCACTGAGGTAACTTTTCTTTTTCTTTTATTTGTAGAAAGCTTAGCCAGGGTTTTGTGCATTTAAAAAAAAAAACCAAACAACAAAAAACACCCAAAACCAAAAAAAAAAAAAAAATGTGTGTGCACGTGTGTATATGCGTAAGTACATGAGATGTGATTGAAAACAATGTGACAGATTTTAACCAATACATTAGGATACAAATTGCTGCTACTGAAAGGCATTGGCAGATGAAAATACATGAAAAGATCATGTCTTGAGAGACCACATGTTCTAAGAGAACCTAAAAGTTTAATTGAAAGAAAACTTTAAAAACATAAAGTACCATATGAAATATTACCATATGACTAAAGAAAAGATGCCAACTTAACTCTGTGTCTCACCCATAGCTAAGATTGCATTTCATGAGTTTGATAATGCTTTTAAAATAAATTAGTCCTTCCTTTCCTAATTACAGCTATCTGCAAAGTCATCTAAGCATGTAAATTTTTTTTAAAATTTTCACTTACTTGGAAATATGCCGACATAAAAGTGTTATCCACGACCAAAATAATATCTCTATGTTTATGGACAATATGTGCACAGGCTTCGATGTCAATTATCTTCAATGTGGGATTCGTGGGGGTTTCAAGCCAAACAAGCTGAAAACAATTCAGTCTATGAGAGTCTGTACAAACATGCTTTACATATATACGTCTTATATATTCTAACAATCTGGGAACTACACTAAAAACAAAATGTTTGGAATACGAAAATGTACGTTTCAGTTTGAATCCCAGCCTTTCCCGCACACCTCTAGAACCCCACAATACATAATTTATCACCTCTGTTCAGCAAATTCTTCATCTGAAAATGGCATTAATAATAATTACTATATAGATTATCATAAAGATCAAGAGGGAATGTACATATATGGAAAATATCATAGATTAGATATAAGGTTCCATTCTAGAGTCTTCATTGAACAGATCCCTATGATGGCTAAAATATTCTTGATAGTAATTTAAATGATCTTGATGGACTGTGCTTGTGTCATACCATACATTCTACTCCAACTCTTAGCAACATCACATTCATGACAGAGCAGAAATACTCTGTAAGGCTTACTTGGCTTTAAATCTTTATAGAAGCAGATTACTAGCTCTTATCTTTCAAAGAACTGCTGGTGGTCATCAAAAGGATGACCTCTGGACTAGCAGCAAAGCATCTAACCCCTGGACCACAGGGCTCCTTTCTAAGGACTGAAACCTAAAACCAAAACCACTACCATCTAGTTGATTCCAATTCACTTGAATTTCATAGGATAACGTTGAACTGCCCATAGGGTTTCCAAGGCTTTGTTTACAGAAGCAGATTGCCTGAACTTCCAAACTTTCGGCCAGCACACTAATTTTTTTGACCAATGTGTTACCAGGACTCTTTATGATGATGCTATATAATTATATACCAGGGACTTGAGGAAGAGCAAAAGTTCTAGAGCAAAGGAGAAAAGGGGCACAAACAACAGAAAAACTAGCTTTCTCAGTTAAAAAATGTGACTGTACCATAATCAGTTGCATATCCCTAAAACCTAGCACATTTCAGGTAGATAGCAGAGTTCAACAATTATTGAAAAGAATGAAGAAAATACTGCTATATGAGATAGCACTGCATTGAGTTACATTATCTACAACTTTCTTTTTAAAAGAGCTAATTTTTTTATCAGCTATATAAATGAGGAAGAGATCTACTTTAATAATGTTTAATAATCTCTCGAGTTTTACTGCAGAAAAGTAAGGTGGTTAAAATAATGTATAGCTTATGAGAATACTGACTTATTTAAAGAATCTGTAAAAATTATTCCTGGGTGAAGATGTATTCATCTCACATATAGTAAATTAAAAAATAATTTTTTAAAGGATAGTTCCAACACAGACTTTTTAAAATTCTATTTCAAATGAGAAGCCAGATCTAATCCAGGGGTATTAACTCAAGTCAATAAAGAGCTTCTATTGGAAGGGCTTAATATTTGCTTTCCTTCCTTAGACTCAGATCAAGAATTTTAATAACTGCCTTCTCCCTCCAGTAAAATAAATAAGCTATTTTTAAAGCAAACCAAAATCACCTGAAAGCATATCCCCGTGGTAACATCCAAAGTAATTATTTGTATTTAAAAAGATTCTTCAGCATCCACTGCAACAAAATCTTTCAAACCTTTTAATCATTAGCAAAAAGTTGGGAAAGGCTGCCTTATAAAAGGCACTGGTCCTTCAGCACACATTCAGAATTTAAATGAGGTTTCAAGAAAGAATATCACATATGCCATTCACTGAGACACAAAACACCTTCCGGCAGCACACAAGCTTCCCAGGATAGAAGCTAGAGATTGCTTGTGCCCTATTCCCATTTCTAATATACTTAGCTGAAGTATTCCTGTAGACCCTTAAAACACCACTGCGTGTAGGGATGGGAGCTTGCAAGCTTCCTTTTCTATAATCCCTGGAATGACTTCTAGTTACCAACACTAGTTCAGTAAAGCAGCTAAAGAGTTACACCCTCTCTGCTAACAAATGTTTTAACAATTATCAAGTCTCAGGTAGCATTTTAGATACATTATCTCATTAGATTTTCACCTTTCCATAAAACTGGTAGTATAATTCAATCTTCAAATGAAGAAAATGACTTAAATCAATTCCCCCAAGACAAAATATCAAGTATAACAGTTAGTATCCAGAATTCAGCTACTTAACAATTAGATCTGGGAGATACCAAATCTATCTTAATCTGGTTGACTGATTCCAAGGTCTTTAAATAAAATGTTTGTTTCAATTTAAATTGCCCTGTAGTAAAAAGGAAGGCTGGAAACTAAGCATTATAGAGCAAATAGAGAAACCAAAATAGTACCTTAGTTTCTGGTGTAATTGCTGCCTCTAGCAGTTTGGGTTTGGAACAATCAACAAAAGAAATCTTCAATCCAAATTCTGATGCCACCTGCCTGAAGTACCTGTTGGTACCTGAAGCAGAAAAGAATCAAGCTAAAATGGAAAACACTGTACTAAAAAAATTTTGTTCTCAATAGGTACAAAATTGTAAAAATTCAAGAAATAAATATATCAAGTAAATGCAATTTTAGTTTGGATAAAATAGTTTTGCTATCTTGCATTGTAAAGAATATAATTCTTGGATTTTAGAGCAAAGGTTCAAGAGTCAAATAAAACTCACCTGGTATCCACTCCAAAAGAAAATATTTTTAAAATATATATTTCAACATTAAGGAATGTGTTCTCTGAAAAATTAGTATCATTGTTAACAATTCCTTCCTACCCAAATCTAAAATAAATTAAACAATGTCTATAAAATGTTTAAAATAAATTTCTATTCTGAATGTACCTTGGTAAAATAATTTGTTAGATATCATTTGGTAGTTTCTTAACTTTTTGTTGTGTGACTCTGATTTAATATATAAAATGAGACCATGCAAATCAAACCACTAGAATTTTAAATGAAAAGACAAATAATTCACTTTAGAAACATTTTTTTATAAATTGTGTCTGCTTTTCATTTTGATATATGCAAACTTTTAAGGTGTTCAGCCAAAAAACTTAATAATCAAAGATATACTGGATTTTTTTTATATTATGAAGATCAATCCTGGTTAATAGGAGATTTTATAAAAAGTATAAAGAATTGTTTAAAAGACTCAGCATTTTTCAGGAATTTAAATCTATATTTGCCTTTAGGTTCTCATAAGGCTCTACATTCACTGTAAGTAAAGGTCAGGATTTCTATTATTTCAAGTCAATAAACTAGTAAAACTTAGGTTAAAATACAAAGCATGTATACATATCTGATACAGAACATAGAATTAATAAAAGAGATTAATACTTCAATGAATTTTCAAATTTAACATTTTGTTCAGATAGGAGATATATAAAATAATAACATTCTTTCAGATGGTTTTATTACTTTGGAGAATTTAGCACATATGTGTATATTTATAATACTCTTTGTTGTTTTGAACATGAAAATTAATCCTGCTTAAAGGTATGGGTAAGTCTATTTGCTGGTCTACTCACTATTCTAAACAGATTTGAGTGCTTTAGAAGAGAAGCTCTATAATTTGAAATCATGATGGGTTTCAAGGAGTCAATCTATGAAATATTAAATGTGGTGTGTATAGTCCTAAACACATTTGTCAAAAGAAGGTAGCAATGGCTCTCAAAAGATTCCAAAGTTTTCCCAAAAAAAGCAAAGAAAGAAAAGTTGGTAGGATTAATTGCTTTAAGAACGGCCTATATTACAACTCATCTTCATTGCAAGATTTAAAAGGCTTAAACTATATTGTTATGGTGGTTCTTTGGTATTGTAAAGTTGCATATGACCCTTAGTGAGCCTATGAACAACAAATCTAAATCCTATCTTGTACTGTGCTGTCTTCCTCATCATCCCTGACACACTTGAGCCCATTCCCACAGTCACTGTATCAATCCCTATCATGAAGGTGACCTTCTTTTTCACTGACTCGCCACTCTTTTAAGCATGACGCCCTTATCCAAAGAATAGTCACTTTCAATAACATGCCCAAAGTATGAGAAAAAGCTTCTCTATCCCTGCCTCTAAGGAGCACTCTGGTTGCACTTTCTCTAAAACCTGCTCTTTATCTGTTCTTTTGGAGATCCATAGAATATTCAGGACTCTTCTCCAACACCACATTTCTTTTTAAAACTGTCCCCTATAACACAAAATATGTCTTAAAGTTCCTCAAGTTCTATGACTCATTCCAGAAGCTCTGTAAATTAAGCAATCTCTTTTCATAAAAGCATAATCCTAAGTATTTCTATTCCTTCTTTGCTAAGTCTGAGCTAGTATTAAAGTTCTCATCACAATTTTAAAACTAATAAACAACAGATACTATAAATATTATCAATATAATTCAGGACTCTATTTTTCTTAAATATAAATTGGGGTGGGGTGTATCAGTTGACATGATATGAACAAGAAGAATCACCTACCTCCATATACATCATCCATACAAATAATTTCGTCTCCTGCTTTTAAAAGATGAGTGATAGTCACAGTTGCTGCTAAACCTGAAGCAAAGGCCAAACCTAAAACAACAAAAAAAAAAATAAGTTAGAGTAATCAAAAAAGCCAGATTAAGGCTTAATGGTAGAGTCTCAGCTTCCAAACAAAAGAACAGAGTTCAATTCCCAGCTGATGGCTCTCATGTACAGTAGTCCCATCAGCCAGGGGAGGCATGGGTGTTACTATGATGCTGAAAAAGCTCCAGGTGAGCTTCCAGACTAAATGGGATAAGAGGAAAAGCCTAGTGATCTATTTCTGAGCTCAACTAATCAAGCCCACATTAGTCTACGCCAGCATCTATTAAAAAGCATTTTTCTCTCTCCCTTTCTGTTGATAGGAAAACCACCAATTGTGAGTCTTCAGATGTCATGTGACTGGTATCACTACAGAATCTTCCTTTCTATTTAAAAAATTAATGTCTTCTAAGTAACAAATGTACCATAGACAGATGCTTCTGTGTTGCATAAATTTTATCTTGGTTATAACATTTCTCTGAAACACTCTGAGGAAATAGCTCGTTGTTGTTGTTGTTGTTGTTATGTGCCATCAAGTCAAAACTAACTGCTGATCTCCCAGCAGATTTTTCAGACATTTTCAACCTCATGGGAAGAGACTGTCCATCTTTCTCCTTTGGAGTAGCGGGTAGATTCAACTGATCTGCTTCTGGGTTGGCAGAACAACTCCTCACCCACTAAGTCCCAGGAGCCAATTCTTAACAAGAATTGTATCCTAAAAGGCCTAGTATCAATTACATTGGAATAAAAATATAAAACTCTAAAGACATTTCAATCTTACAGAATGGAGCCAAGATACATTTCACTGATTAATTACATGAATATGCAACTCTGGAAATACCTTAACAAAACCCGAAATCACAACTGTGATGTGGCTGATAAGTTTATTTGATGATTATGGACACATAGACTCTCATTTTCTATTCACTACTCTGACTTATTTAACATAATGACCATAAAAATGTCATGTGAGGCTCTCTCTGCTCCTTTTCAATCCAGATTGCACTCTCTTCTCGTGCAGCCTCAACCGCATCACTGAGACATGATGGTGAAGGTCGAAGTAAAGGGATTTGGCTGCATTGAGCGTCTGGTCACCAGGGCTGCTTTTAACTCTGGCAAAGTGGATGTTGTCACCATCAATGTCCCTTCATTGACCTCAACTACATGGTCTATATGTTCCAATATGATTCCACCCATGGCAAGTTCAACGGCACTGTCAAGGCTGAGATTGGGAAGCTAGTAATTAATGGGAAAGCCATCACTATCTTCCAGGAATGAGATCCCACCAACATCAAGTGGGCTGATGCTGGTGCTGAAAATATTATGGAGTCCACTGGGGTCTTCACAACCTTGAAGAAGGCTGGGACTCACTTGAAGGGTGGTGCCAAACAGGTAATCATCTCTTCTCCTTCTGCCGATGTCCACATGTTTATGATGGGCATGAACCATGAAAAGTATGACAACTCTCTCAAAATTGTCAGCAATGCCTCCTGAACCACACTGCTTGGCTCCCCTGGCCAAGGTCATCCATGACAACTTCGGCATTGTAGTCCATGCCATCACTGCCACCCAGAAGACTGTGGATGGCCCCTCTAGAAATCTGTGGCGTGATGGCCATGGAGCTGCCCAGAACATCATCTCTGCACCTATTGGTGCTTCCAAGGCTGTGGGCAAGGTCATCCCTGAACTGAATGGGAAACTTACCAGCATGGCTTTCCGTGTCCCCATCCCCAATGTGTCAGTTGTGGACCTGACCTGGTGTCTGTAGAAAGCTGCCAAATATGATGACATCAAGAAAGTAGTAAAGCAGGCATCAGAAGGGCCCCACAAGGGCATCCTGGGATACACTGAAGACCAGGTTGTCTCCTGTGACTTTAATAGTGACACCCACTCTTCCACCTTTGATGCTAGGACTGGCATTGCTCTGAACGACCACTTTGTCAGACTCATTTCCTGGTATGACAATGAATTTGGCTACAGCAACCAGGTGGTTGACCTGATTCACATGGTTCACATGGCCTCCAAAGAATAAGAGCCCCTTGGACCACCAGCCCCAGCAATAGCACTAGAAGAGAGAGAGACCCTCAGCTGCTGGGGAGTCCCTGCCCCAACTTGATCCTCCCACACACTGAGAATCTCACATCCTTGACACAAGTTTCTATCAAATCCCCCTGAGAAAGGGGAGGGGCTTGGAAAGCCCATCTTGTCATGTACCTTCAGTAAAATACAGTGTACTCAGCCCCCCCCCCAAAAGAGTCATGTGACAGAAAAAGAATTCATGTCTTTAAGCTGTTGTGTTGGAGAGGAGCGCTGAAAATCTCATGGAGGGACAAGAAAACAAGCAGATGTCTTATAGAGGGTGCAGCCACAGTGCTCTTTGCAAACAAGACTGATGAAGCTTCACCTCACATACTTTGGACATGTTGCTATTCCTTGGAGAAGGACATGATGCTAGGAGGGGCAGAGGGTCAGTGAAGGAGAAGCCCCTCAACCAGGTGGACTGACACGGTGACTGCTATAATGGGCTCTGTGTGTCAGGAAGTGTGAGAATGGCACAGGAGAGAACAGAGTTCAAATCTTTTGTTCATTTGGTCGCTATGAGTCGTACTCAACTTGACAGCACCTAACAACAACCATATATATATAAACATACATACATAAAAATCAATTTGTATATGCACATACATGTAAATATAAGATAAAATAATCAGCGTGTTCTCATTAGGAGCAAAAGACTCAAAACAAAACCTAATCTACTAGACTAACAATCTGCCTGAGCCATGGCTTCATCAACCCTGAGATCTTAAAGTGCCTAACAATCACTAATTTTCTTAAGCGTCACAACAGATGAATCCTGAAAGAAAAGAAGAAAAATGTGGACCAAACTCAAATTCTTACAGACTTTCCGGACCAGGTAAGAAGAGGATTCTCCAATACTATCATCCTGAAATTCTCTTTAAATCTTGACATAAAATTACCTTAAAATCACCTTTTGGTTAAATAAGTTGGCTCATGTAATAAATAATAGGATCAGTGAGTCGAATGCACTTGTTAAAATAAAAAAAAAAAAAATTTAAAAAAACCAAAACAACTCGATGAGACCAAATAGTCAATAATTACTTTAAAGCAAAGATCAAAGTGTAAAGGGCCAGAGAAAGCAGAGGGCTTTAAATAAAGCATCAGAACTGGATAAATGAGAAAACCGACACAATGTGGAAAAATGTGGCTAATGTCACTGAACATTTGTGTAGCAATTGTTAAATAGGAAACAAAATTGCTATGTAAAATATCATTGAAAACACAATAAACTACGATTTTAAATATACACACACACACAGAGAGAATGAAAGGTGCCTTCTTAGTAGTCTACTTTAAAAAAAAACAAACCCAACAGTTTCAAACAGTTAATACTTAATCTCTGAGAACACATTATCAAGGGCACCTGGCTGTTTAAAAATTTATTGTGGTACTACTTTCAGGCATAAATTATCAAAGCAAATGAACCAGAGGGTAGGAAAGTTTTTATTCTCATAGGCCAGGTACTCAAACTGAGTTAATATTTATCTATTTATAGAGACAGCTTCAGATGAAGAGTATACTTCATGATTTCTAAATAGTATGATAATAATAGTAAACAGTATGATTTTTTTAAACAGTAAATGCTACCTCGAATCATATTTGTTTTTACCTGATAATCACACTATACACATTGTATCAGCTGTGAGACTTTGAACAAATGATTCAATGTTTTATTGAATAAGAGTTTTGAACTACTATTTAAGATCTTTGTTGTTGTTGTTGATGATGATGTTGTTGTTGTAGGTGTTCTAAAGTTAGCTTCAACTCAAAGTAGCCCCAACTCTCAGCAATCCTATGGACAACAGACCAAAACACTGCCTAGTCTTGCTTTGTCCTCACAATTATTGCTATGCTTGAGACTACTGTTATAGCTACTATATTTAAGGGTCTTTTTTCTTTTTCTCTGACCAAATATGATACCTTTCTCCAGAGATTGGTCCTTCCTGATGAAATGTCCAAAGCATGGGAGAGACAAATTTTTTGCCATCCTCTATTCTAATGAATATTCTAGGTATACTTCTTCTGAGAAAAATCTGTCCAGTGTTCCAGCAGTCCATCATATATGATATATTCTTCACCAATGCAAAATTAAAAGCACTACATTTGTCTTCCTCATTTGCTGTATAACTTTTGCATGCTTATGAGACAACGGAAACAATTATATTTTCAGTTACACATACCTTCATCTTCAAAATGACATCTTTAACACTTCTAACAGGTCTTTTGTAGTAGATATATGTCCAATAACACCATTTGCTTTCCTGGCTAGTGTTTCCATGGGTACTGACTGTGAATGCAAGTAAAATCAAACCCTTGACAATGTCAATCTTTTTAGTCCATTTATCTTGATTTTGCTCATTGATCCAGTTGTGAGGATTTTGTTTTGTTGAGGCGCAATCCATTTTGAAGGCTATAATCTTAATCTTCATCAGTATTTCAAGTCTTCTTCACCTTCTGCAAGCAAGCTGTGTAATCTACATAGCAGAGGTTGTTGATGACTCCTCCTCCAATCCCGATGCCACTTTCTTCTTCACAGTCCATCTTCTCAATTACTGTTCAGCATACAGCTTGACTAAGTATGGTGCAAACTACAATCTTGACACACACCTTTCCTGATTTTCAACCACTGCTCAAAATGTATTGCTTATTTTATTCAAATGACTGCTTCTTGAACTACGTGCAAGTTCCGCAAGAGCACAGTTAAGAGTTGTGGAATTACTATTCTTTGGAATATTATCCATAGTTAGTTATGATCCACACAGTCAAACATCTTTACATAGTCTCTAAAACACAGGTGAACATCCTGCGGTGGTTTGCTTTGGACTGAAGCTGGCAGTATAAACCTACCCAGAGGTATGATGAAAGAAAAGCAATGGTGATGAGAAAATTTAATGAAGCAGTTTTAATCTGTCATAAATGAGGCCACCAAGACTCTTAATTGACATGATGGCAACAATCTTTATTTTCTTATACTTCTATAATCTGTGCCTCTAGAATTTTCTTTATATGTTTAAGATGAATTCTAAACTTTAAAGCCTTGAAATGTAAAGTACTTACTGTACTGAGCCCCATCCAGTGCTGCCACTGCTTTCTCCAGGCAATTCCTTGTGGGATTTCCAGAACGGCTATATTCAAAACCCTGTAGAACAGAAGACAGAGTTCATCCAAAGAGACTTTACTATCAGAGTCTTAACATAGCCATCTCCACAATTAACCTAAGGATCATCTTGCCATTAAAAAAAATTCCATTATTTTATCATGTCATGCCATACCCTGACAGTGTATGGCTATAGCAATATAAAGAGACTCAGAAGTCATTCAAACTGGACCACAATTCTATAGAGGCCAATTAAAAGCTGTTAATTTCAATTACTGTAAAATGAAAATGCTAGCACTATGCACTATGTAAATCTTTCTGAGAATAAAATGAGAGAATGTGTAATAAATTCTTTGTATGGTGTCTAGGAAATGGTAACCACTAAGTATATGATAGTCTTTATTGTTGCTGTTGTTGTTAGGTACCATTGAATCAAGTATGACTTGAACAAGTATGAACAATAGATCTGAACCTTGCCCAATTCTGTGGCATCCTTACCGTCTATGATATACCTGAGTCCATTAGTCTTAATTTCTAGTATTATTATTTTTAGCCTTCTTCACCCACTCTTCTAGAGACATCAGGAGGAAGGGGAGCCCACGAGATAACAGAGAGCCTAACTCCAAATCTGTGTTGAAGTTACTAAGAAATAAGTAATGCAAAGGTTTGGTCAGCCTGCATTGAGGGATGTGGAGTTATAAAACCAAATTCTTTAAATGCTCAAAATTCAGATTTTAGTTCGTCAAAAAATAAGGAGTATTTTTTTAGTGAGACAGCTGTATTTAATACTTATTAAAATTTGTATTAGATTTCTTTTCCATGTATGGCATATACTAGCTGTGCTCATAAAAACAAACAAACCCCACTGGTATCAGGTCAATTCCAACTCACATTAACCATCCCCATCCAAGGCTGCAAATCTTAACACAAGAGTGCCCATCCCAGGGGATAGATGGTGGATTCAAACCAACAACCTATTGAGAGGTTATCAGTCCGACACATAAAACATTATACCACCAGAGTTCCTTGAGCTCATACAGTCATCTTTTGTTTTTTTTAATCCTCATGACCTACTTTAAGGAAACTGAAGCCAAAAGTTTTACTTATAGAATGTCAGGACCTCCTCTTGCTTCATAAAAAGGGGGCTCTGCATGGTGTGAGTAGTTAAGAATTAAGATACTAACTGAAAAGTTGGAATTCAAAACCACTCAGAAGTGTCTTGGAAGAAAGACCTGGAGATCTGCCCCCAAAAGGCATCACAGCTATTGAAAACCCTATGGAGTACCATTCTCCTCTGTAATATGTAGGCCTACCATGAATCATCAAGCAGAGAATGTAATGTGTGGGTATGTGTGTCTGTGATGTTTCTGTGTGTTATATGCCTCACATAACATATAACAAGAGTGACTCTAACTCATTTCTGATTCAAAACTCCAAGTATTAGCAACAATAATAATAATGATAAAGCATGTTTTATTGCTTTGTTTTTACTTGTGTCAAACTTAATATAAAAACCAAAAGTTAATCCAATATCTGTAAAATGGGAATGGTAATACCATGTTGTTGTTGTTGTTATGTGCCATCGAGTCGCCTGCAACTCATAGCGACCCTATGTACAACATCCCTAAACTCTGCACTGTCCTGTGCCAATCGCACCATCTCTGACACACCCATTCCAATTACCCCAGTCACTGAATCAATCCACCTCATAGGGGGCCTTCCCCTTCTACTCTGTCCCTGGACCCTACCAAGCATGATGACCCTCTCCAAGGACCTGTCCCTCCTTGCAACATGTCCAAAGTATGTTAGACAGAGCCTTAGAATCCTTGCCTCCAAGAAGCAGCCTGGTTTGACCCTTTCCAGGATGAATCTATTTGTTTTCCTAGCAGTCCATGGTACTCTCAATACTCTTCTCCAGCACCACAGCTCAAAGGCATCAATTCTCCTTCTATCCTCCTTAGTCACTGTCCAACTCTCTGCTGCATAACAAGTGATTGCAAAGACCATGGCCTGTATCAGATGCACCTTAGTCTCCAAAGAGACACCATTGCTCTTCAGTACTTTGGAGAGGTCCCTAACAGCAGACTTTGCCATGGCAATACGTCTTCTAATTTCCTGTCTGCTGGTGCCGAGAGTGTTGACTGTGGAGCCAAGCAAATTGAAGCTGTGAACAATCTCAATCTCTTCACCATCCATCCTGATGCTGCCAATTGGCCCAGAGGTGAGAATCTTTGTCTTCTTGACATTGAGCCTCAATCCATATTGGAGGCTGCAGTCCTTGACCCTCTGCAGCAAGCACTTCAGGTCCTCCTCAATTTCAGCAAGCAGGGTTGTATCATCTGCATATCGCAGATTGTTGATAGATCTTCCACCAGTCTTGACCCCACATTTCTCCTCATAGAGCCCTGCCTCCCAGATAATCTGTTCTGCATACAAGCTAAACCATGCAGTGTTTCCTTGCTCTGTTCTGATGACTGCCTCTTGGTCCAAGTATAGGTTTCTCATTAGCACGATCAAGTGTTCTGGTATTCCCATTCTTCTCAGGGTCAACCACAGTTTGTTATGATCCACACAGTCAAACACCTTTGCATAGTCAATGAAACACAGATAGACATTCCTCTGGTACTCCCTGCTTTCAGCTAAGATCCATCTAACATTAGCTATTATATCCCTAGTACCACGACCCCTTCTAAACCCAACCTGGACTTCTGGCAGTTCTCTGGTGATGTGTTGTTCCAGTCATTTTTGGATAATCTTCAGTAGAATTTTGCTTGCATGTGAAATACACTTTGTAAAACTGTCCTGAGGTTAAAATGACATAATGGGAGAGAATCCCCAATTCCACTACCACAGAGTCAATTCCACCTCACGGCAACTCTGTAAGACAGAGGAGAATGCCTGATAGAGTTTGCAAGGCTGTGCATTTTTACAGACCCAAACTGCCATATCTCCCACAGAACAGCTGGCTATTTCAAATCACTCCTCTTCACATTTACACAGCCAAGCACGTTAATTATCACGCCACTAGGTTGTATTTTATAGGACTACAGGATATCTTCATCACACCCCACCAACACCCCTTTGCCAGTTTATTTGTAGCTGTTCCCTCCAGACAGAGAAACTGTTTGCATTTACAAGAAGAGTGACACTGAAAGTGAAAGTAGCTATGCATCTATAAATATTTATGGCAGATACTTAACTGACCACTCTCTGGCAAATCTCTATTCTCCATTGTTCACTCAATTATTCTCTAAAATGGGATAGAAAAATAAAGGATACTCATGCAATTTTTCAAATTCCCGTTAGTGCTCTTAACTGATTTTTAAAGGTCCTAAATATGATCTGAGCTCTGGTGGATTAGTGGTAAAGAATTTTTCTGCCAACGCAAAGGTACATCGTTCAAACACACTAGCTTCTCCACTGGAGAAAGATAGGCAATCAGTCTCCTCCCCTGTGTTTTACTACCTCTGAAAACCCATTAGACTATGACTGAATGCTTAAATTTTGTACTTACTTTCAGTGTTTGAACAGCAGTTACTTAAAATTTACCAGGAAAAAAGTTTATGCTTAGAAGATAACTTGTGTACCAACTTTGATACCAAAATAAAATAACGAAGAGAATTTTAAGCCAGTAATAAAAATGTCCTTTGAACTTTACCTCACAACACAGAGTTTAGTCTAAGAAATTTTCTAGACTTAAATAACACACTAAGGAGGTTTATTCTTTTATTTTTTTAGTTTTTTTGGGTTTTTTTTACTTATCAGACTGATTTTTTAAAAATAATTTTTTTACATTGTTAAATATCAGACTGAAATTTCAAGATCAGCAAAGGATGTAAAATGTTCAAAATTCCTGTCTACTTGCCAGTAGAAAAGGAAAAGTAGATAAAGTCTCAGAATCCAAGGGGGAGATTCCACACATCAAAAGCAGGAGGGTAGGGTGAGTGTGGAGGGTATTGGGGAGCTGTTTCCCCATCTCCCAGGCAGGTATGGGGCCCTGCTGTCATCACTGTGGATTTTTTTTTGATGCACACATACTCAAGGTTTAAAACCTACCATTTTCTTATGCATTTCAGCAGTATTAAATACTCTATGCTATGAAATATGCTATTTTAAAAAATGGAGTGGAAATTGAGTAATTAACAATAGGGAACCCTTTTATTAGCCCGACACAAGTCATTTATATGTCTATGGGTCAGTTTTGGGGTGGGGATTTTTTTTTCAGCTTCCTTTTTTTTTGGTAAAAATGTGTCTAATACCTCCCCTGCCCTCTGATCAGGTTGTTAAATATCACATTGTCTTTGAGCATTTACGCATCATGCTCTGGTGGCCTTATCCCCCAGGGAGCTGCACTGCTAACACAAAGGCTAGCCCTCTCTATCAGTTCAAATCACCAGCGGCTCCAAAAGAGAAAGATAATCTGAATCACGGACTGAGAAACCCAAAGGAGGGTGAGTTATGAATCAGTTCCAACTCAATGGCAATGAGTTTGAGATTTCTGAGTAACAATTTATGTTCTAGATATTGTTATCACCCAACTTTACACAGGATCAAACTAAGGCTTAGAAAGATTAAGTAACATGCTTATGACCAACCAGCTCAGAAGAGGTCCTCTGGCTACATGATTCACATTCTTCGTCACTAAACCACCATTTTTTAAATGATGCAATAGGGCAAATTCTTGCTAATAATATAGTTAGTGCAGTGTAGTTTAGGACTAAGAGTAGTAGGTTCTAGCGCTTTTATCTCAAATTCATCATTTATACTAGCCATGTGGCCTTAGTTTAGTAACTTCAACCTTAATGACCGTGGAGTTCAGATACAAGGGTTGTTATTAGAATTATATGCAGTAATACTTGTAATACACATACGTGCTTATCAAGAAAACAGTATACTCTCTGTTACTATTAATAATTGAATACAGCTGCTGAGAACGATCTTAATTACAAGTGAATTATCTGACCCTTGGCATTTTTTTAATAACTTTTTACTATACCTTTACAATTATTGGGGCTAAGGGTAATTCTAGAACATTATGGCTCTCGGTTTTCCACTTTTTTTTGCCAAAATTTTTTTTTTATTTTTGTCAAAATTACTTGAACTGCAGTCCAATCTACTTGGCAAGTTGTGTTGTATCAAAAGTTGTGATCACTGGGTTATCCAATACAAAACATTTCTGCAAGAAGAATTATAGATACAGGAAACATCTTTTCGAGGTGCTTTCCTAATGTACAAACCGTATTTTAAATTGCTTGCACTTCTTTTTAATTTATAAACCATCTCTTGTTTCCTGCCCCACCCAGTACCGTCCAAGACCCAGCTCACCGAGTGCTGGCCGGGCGCCCCCTGCTTGAACGTGGTAGACAGTGATATAGGAGGCACCACAGCCCTGGAGTTCCATTGCTCTGGTTCCTGACCCACATGGATGGCCTGCGTGGCAAAATGTTCGAAATTAGGCAGGAAACCATGTGGAGAAGTGTCTTTTTTCTGCATGTTGAGCTGCGAAGGGAAGGGGGAAAAAAGACGAAAAGAGCGAGGGAGAGAAAATTGGCGAACTGAAGTGCTATGGAAAGAAGATCGAGAAGAAAGGAAGAATAGACACTGCATAAAACCTGTGGGGAATACACAACAACAGGACACAGTGCTTCTGCTGCAGAGATTTTATTAGCCGGTCGAGAGGGCCGCCGCGGGGGCGGAGACTTCTCAGTCCAATCAGCGAAGGAGCCGGCGCGACCTCCGCTTCTCATTGGTTGGCAGCAGAGGCGTTGTCTGTAGCGTCGCCGCGATGGCCCTCCCCCAAGCAGATTGCAAAGTGAAGCCAGAGTAGGTGGGTCCACGTAGTGTTAGTTCCTGAGGGCAAACTTCCCGAGTCCTGGCCCGGGAGAAGCTACTGTGTGGGCAGGTATGCCACAGAGGAATCTATGTGACCTCTGGCCGAGGTTCGCTTGAGACGTAGGAAAAGGCTGGCTTAGTGTTGAAACCGAGTCACCGGTAAACAGACCACGCAAACAGCCTCCTTTTACTGCAGACTGTGGCCTTGACTCGCCACCCTTTGTCCTCAGGACTGTGCTGACGACAGACATAAAAATATCATGACCTAAAACAAAGAAATAGCTGTGTCTGTCGTGAACTGCTAGATTTGCAGCTTGGATTCTCATTAACCGACAAAAACCTGCTTTTTAAACTACTTTTCAGCTCTGCAACGATACAGTATTTGTAATGACTGCAACAGGAGCAAGAGGCATATATTAATAACGAAGCTACTGTAGTGAAGACCTCTAAGCAAGCACTCGTGCTGCTTTGTAAAAGCTGTTCAAACGTTGAGGTTTTTTCAAGCATCATTATCTTCTTTTGAAGTCCTCCGGGAAGAAATTCTCTGATGACAAAGGTTGTATAGCTTTGAAAGACTTCTTAGTGCTTCAAATGCTCATTCCCCAAAATGCGTTCTTTGTTGTACAATTGACAACATCCTTGTAGGAAAAAGGAAGCAACCTTGTGTCATTTACTATTTACCAGCTCCCAGGTCCCTACTCATAAGAATAGTTTCTTAAAAACACACGACAAAAATCTCCTTGTTCTTAAACAATATAGATCTTGACCTACTTACAATTGACTAAACCAGAATCAAGGATTTAGGAATATTTTCATTTCTGCAAATTATCACTTGAAAGACCTGATGCTTTAGTAAACCAGTTAAGAAAAAAAAATACGAAATAAACAGACCTTAAGTCTTAAGACCTTAGTGTTTGAAAAAAGGATAAAGCAGCTTCCTTTTCAAATTCACTTCAAGAAATTTCTGTTAAGCACTAGAAGAGCAGTGCCTAAGGGCTTGTGACCTTTCAGAAACCTACTAAAATGTTTATGCCTTAAAGAAAAAGTATAAAATCTAAAACACTAAAGGATAGTAATATACACTTAATATTTTAATTAATAT